CCTCTCACATCTTTCATGAAATATGATTGATTTTTGGAGATTTGATATCTCATGAAGAAAACATATCTTTGAGCTGAAAATTTCAGGGCATTCTAGTTACAAGTAGACCTATCTGTAGGTAAGATTTCAGACCGAAATATCGTCATTCGATTTGATAGTATATACCATGCTATAGGCTAAAATTCCAGTAAAATGACTATAACTCTGGAGGAAAGGCCTATGGGCCCTTATCCTTTTGAATTTTTTCGCACCTTACTGGGGTCTACCTTGTGCACAGAGTCTGAACTCAAAACCGATTAATCACTTCGGATACCTCCCTCGTGAGATACACAAAACTTTATATTAGTTTTAAAACTGACAGATCTGATTAGGATGGTATAAAGTGTGCTTCTCCAATAGGCTGCCGCTAAAGAATTAGGTTAATTTCAACTACAGAAAAGTGACTGTAAGCTATTGTTTCGGAAATGTTAATTTTTATGTTAGTTTACTTCTCAGCATTGAAAATATATGTCATAGACAAATCGCATACGGAAATTCAACTATAACGGATCGAAATTTTTTGGGGAATACTATTTTAAAGACAATGTAACTAAAACTTTGTCGGATATATTGTTCTCAATAGTCTGTATTCTGTTCAGTTGTTTTCTCCTATATTTATATGAAAAAGTATCAAAAAACAGGATCAGTCATTGAAAGATGATCAACATCCAATTCGAATTAGATCAATTTCGTATATATATAATACTAATTATATTAACAATAAAGATATAATTAGAAGTTCTATTTATATTGATTGGTTGAACTTTTTCCTCGTTAGCTGTGAATTAGCTTCATCAGTTTCAAGTACACTCATATAAATATATAACTTTTAGGAGTGACAAAATTTCATCTAGCACATCTCTATGTGCATCTGAATAACTTCTATCTCTCTTTTTAATAAAACAAATAAATCCAATAAGTTAATATTTCTATAGAAGAAATCAAACATAGTCTTTCCTATAATTAATCATGCTATAAAAGATGATCTATTACAAAAATTTCTAGATTTTTTTTTTTTTGAGAATCTCTTGAACTTATTCTTTGATATGTTAAAATCAAATTCATAATTAAAATGAATATATTTCTATTCTTACCTTCATCATCCTGATGTTCAATAGTAACATGAAAATTATTATCATCAAAATCATCTTGATCATGATATTCTTGAATTTGTTCTTGTTGTTTTTCTCTATATCGATTAATTAAATCTAAATATTCAAAATTTAATTCTGGAAAATTATGTGAATTAATTAAATCAGTTAATGGACGTAATTTTCTAGCTAATTGCATTTGATTACGACTTTTTTCTCTTATACGTAATAAAAGTGCACTTTGAGATATTCCAACAGTTTTTTTATCACGTCCATTATTAACACCTAACATTATTTGATCAATAGATAATTGATTAAACAAATCAATCCGAATATTTCGTTTTGGACCAACTATACAAACATTTCCTCCTTCACTATTTAATCTCTGACGTATTGCTGGTGCTTGTGGTTGTTGAATAATTAAATTATTAGCTGGTATTGTCTTAGATGTATTAAGTAAATTTGTATATTTCCATATATTTGGTCCAGCAAAAAGTTTAAGTTTAGTTGCATCAAAATATGAATATTCAGATTGAACATCTTTTGAATGTAATAAATTTGGCATTTGATCTGCAAATGATACTGTACTCATAAATGATGATGAGAGAATTTCATCAGTAGATGGAAAATTTAACTAAAATAAATATTTGTTCATTTAATCTTATAAGAAATTATATGTTCAATGGATACAAAAAAGTTATCGACGAAACGTTTCGTAGATATTTACTATTCAAATGGTTATGCTATTTAATACATGCTCTAAAGTATTGTGTAGAAGCCTTGATACCAACAGCCATGAAAGGATCCTTAGTAATAATAGTGTGATCAGATGAAGACTGAACCTTCCTAGAAGTACAGAATCTACCTGTGTGCGTGAACCACTCCATCTCCTAGAACTTTTTTCTGCTTACGTCACAACCTTTGACTCAGACTGCCCTTAACTGAATATTCAATAAATTACCGCGTCATTATAGAATCTTCATATGTTTCACTTTCAGATTAATAATATCAACAGACTCATTAATAAATAAACATTCAACTAATGTCCGCGCCAGAATAAAAGAGGGATGAGTGTAAGCTCAATAACTCGACAACCGCAATACCTAGCTACCTGCGGTTTTCACCAATCGAAAGAGGAGGAGCGGGCACGTCTTTTTCTTCGATAATGTATAAGACGAAATTCTTTTAA